TATCTCTCTGAAGCACCTCTCCTGGTTTGGAGTTCGGTGGGCGTTCTCATCGGGCCCTTTGTCATCGGGGCCCCAGTGCCGCGCTCTGGTGGCACAGCCAAGCTACGCTCTTGCCTCAGATCATGCCTTTCCTCGGATCACAACTTTCCTTCTCATCTTCAAGTGCAAACTTTCTCCCCTTTATGTGCGTCAGTAATTGTAGATCCCCAAATTATTTTATTTATTAGATATTTTTTCTTTAGTTTTAAAAAAATATTATTTTAGTCGATTGACTAATTCTTCGAATGTTCGATCATCGTAAATATTCAACAATCGTAAATATTGAAGGCAAATTTATTCACGTTACATGTTTCATTTTAAGGTTTACTTTAATTCAGATACACAAAGCGTTGATTCAAAAAAAATTCCTCGGTGCTATTGATATCAATAAATAGTAAATAAGATATATTCGAATACCTATCGAATTCCCAGAGGCATTTTTCGGTTCAGTGTAATCAAGGGCGGAAGCGTTTGCTGTTGTTCTCCTTCCACTCTCACTTTCTGGACTTTCTGAACTCCAATATCAGCTCTCATTATGAAATTTATTAATATATAATTTCACTCGTCGATTGTCCATATAGTATATCCGGAATATATATTTTCGTATTGTTTTATTTTTTAATATATACTTAAACTAGCTGACCCGGCGAACTTTGTTCCGCCTTAATGGCAATAAATAAGCAGTTTTTAATTGGAAAAAATACAAAAAAATATAAATACCTACATTAATCATTCATAATTATTTCTGTATTTAGTACATAGGTTGCTCTTCATTTAGTACCTTGTGAAACACGACATTTTTTGTTTTATTATCAGGCGCAAAAACAAACAACGCAGATGGTCTTCCGACCCGTGAACATGCCACGTATAATTGACCATGGGAAAAACATTGGCTAATGTCTAGGATTTAAACCACAAAACTTTTAAGGATTGGTCCTTGATTGATGGTCATGGGCAAATGCAAGACGTAATGGAAATTGACGTATTTAAATTCCAACGACGATATCGGTTGGGATCATCGGTATTCGTCTCGGAATGAAATTCCTCACCTTTGATTTTCGCTAATCATTATCGTAGCTAAATTACATTGTCTCATAACAATTTTCTAACACAAACGCGTACCGTTTGCACAAGTTTTTGGTTGAATTTATGTTTTCGAAGGCACGATTACTACGGAGCCAAACCTTTAGGCGTAAATTGTGCGGTGGTTAAGCCAGGCACGTCAATAGAGTTTTTAAAAATTCAATTGGATAGTTGGTGGTTCATCTTATTTGTGACGCAGACCCCCCACCTCAGTAGATTTTGAATAATGCATTATTCAATGATCTTATTTTTGATTTAGTAGTTTAGGTCATCTACATCTTTATTCTTAGGCCGCTAAATCGCTCGCTCACAAACATTCATTATTTTTGTGTTAGAAATAATTTCTGGAAATACATTGTTGATAAGTTTGTCTTTGATGAGAAGAAATTACAGAAATATTTATGGAAATGATATTATCCGCTCGATTCATCGACAGGTAATTCACCATTAACCGATAGTCAGCATTACTCGAGAAATCTTCAGCAGATGTTCGTTAAGCTATGTAATCTCTTGTTTTGTTGTTCAGTTGCAGTTTCTTCAAACATAGCGCCATAGATTGGACGATTTGAGGGCAAGCGTTTATTTCGCTCGGCAGCCGTAGATCTTGGAATTACTGGCAGTTATTTGGCGGAAATCGCAGAAGTAAAATCATGCTCCTCCCAAAACTCTCGAGTCATGCGTAAATCTTTTTTAATGTTCGTTAAGTGCTTCTAATGCACGTTTATTGCGCTATTTGTGCATTCGTCCAGATGATGATTTTCGATACGCTAAAATTGCATTGGCTGAGTGTTTTTGCAATATTACACTTGGTTTCTTCAATAGTTTGAGATTTAACGGTATTTGAATGCTGAATGAGCCGTTACGCATCCTCTTAACAATGTGGCTTGCTATTCCGAAAGCAACTGCAACCGTATGATAGATCTCGCCCGAACAGCTGCTAAAATAAATGACATGAGGAATGTCATGCCCAGTTCCACCAGGGGATCTAAGGGTAAATATAAACCAGGCCCATTTTCATCATCGATTGCCTTCATTAAAGTATCATAAACTTCTTTTGTTGGTAATTCAACAGGGGTACATTGTTGAATCTACTAAATCTAATTCTGGTGAATCATATCAGTTCCGTCCAAGTTCTCGATTAAATGCGTCATGTCATTTTCCACGAATGGTGCTGGCATTTCCTGTCAATACCCGCACTCTTTGTATTTGCTCCTTAATACTGCCAGTATTGTGTTTAAAAATTACTCTTGTTATTAAGCTTATAAGTGATTGTCTTCTCTGGTGTAAAAATTATTGTATATTTATGTAAAGTGCTACTGTAAACTAAACGTCGCTTTCTGTAAGTTCTCAATAACTTCACTTTTTTCGCCTATTTCTTCTTCGTCTTTTCTTCGCTTTTTTTCTCTTCCTCTCCTCCCAAACTTATCATTTATACTTTCTGACCCCCTTCCTGTACGGTCTTTTCTTTTCTTCTTTCACGAAACTTCCCTTTCACACTATATAACATACTCAGTTCTATTCATGTTCGGCCCTAAGCCGCCATCCTGATTGAGGTTTTTCTGGGTTTACTCAATTGCTTAAGGCGTATGCCGGATGGTCTCTAGTTTGTTCTCCCAGACGTAAATGTACAGCTTGGCCTCCCTCTTAAAATGTTACTACTCTAAATGTATGTAAATCAGTGGTTAGGCGGAAGAGCGGCCCCATGGCCTGAGCCTCGCCATTAATAAAGACATTATTATTATTATTATTATTATTATTATTTTATTATATTATTATTATTTTATTATTATGGCCGAGAGACTTAGCCTGAAGCTCAGAGCGTGGGCTGTGCCCCGCTGGTGGAGCTACCTGGTTGCGGGAAACTAGCATGCTGACGCGTCGATCGGCGCCTGATCTCGATATCCTGCGAAGCAAGATCAACCTGTCCGCGAGCATAAAACATGCACTAAACTTAGGAACTAATTACCTTAGTAGTGTTGAGCGCTGCAGGCTCGCTTAAAGGCCTTAGGCGTTTACACGTTTTATAGTGACTGACGTTTCATGTCAAGTCACACGGGAATGCTGGTCGACACGGGAAATAAAAAGTATCCTAATGTTCTTTCCTGGCTTAAACTACCTCCCTGTCCAATTTCAGCTAATCGGTTCAGTCCGTTCTTCTGAGTTGAGTTATAAGTGGAGTAACTAACACGACTTTATTTTATATATATAGATGTGTATTTCTTATAAAATGCAATAGTGATGTACGCTCCAAAACGATCTTTAAGATTTTATTCTTTAGTGAAAATATTTAGCACCTTAAGGGACGATAGAAAGCAAGGAAGCTATTAATATTGTTACGGATTAATCTATTTTATTGATCAGTGAATGTCACTTATTATACTACGGGCGGCCAACATAAACAGAAAAGCGTAACAGTTTAAATGAATTACCAAAATGCAAACCACCTCATCACCACACAAACGGAAATTTTTTTTGTCTTTCAATGTCAGTGTTGCAGAAAATTAAGTTTCGAACTGATAAATTGAATTATCTGTAAAATGAAGCTCGCAATAGGGAAATTAGTAATATATTTTATTAAAGAATCAAAGCGTTATTATATGTGAAAGGAAACAAAACACATGTTCATTTAATTAGCGATTCTTGATATTCATTTCTGTGCATTGAGTAAATTTTATGTCATTCATGGAACTTGAAAGGTGAGTGAGTAAGTGAACAAATATTTATAAAAATTTTAAAATTGGAGGAAGGGAGTTAACGTTTCAGTTGAATAGAATTACGTATTGTAGTTCTAGTTTTAGGAAAGAAGAGAGGTCACGTTAAACCGCATTTGTATTTTAGAGTGAAATGCATGGGAAATTATACAAAGGTTGGGCTCAAGGATGTTTTGTGTCAACCGTGCAGGCAAAGGCCTCGTCGCGGACGCCGCTGAAATGCGCGAACGAAAAAGCCAAAGCAAACTGGTGATCTTTGTGACAAAATCTGACTAACTTGTCTCGTACAACAAATTAGAAGATTCACTGTCATCTACTTAGCGTATTTCACACGTTTCATTTTTTCATTATGCTTTTGCTGTTTGTAAAAAATTCTTGTAGGCGTCTCCAGCGAGGTTAGTGGCGCCCAGCCACTTGGGGCCTTAGGGAACGTTGCTGACTTAGTGGCGCGGGATATTCGAGGCCACCAGCGGACTTCGATCAAAATGCCGTTTAATTTTAATGGTATAAATGCACGGCATATCGTATGGCTTAATGTCTAAACCAAATAGATCAGGATGAAAAGAAATCATTGAATAGAAAACGTTGAAATTTGGCGTAATCTAAGTTTTAATTAAAAGGGAAAAAGGGGGAGGGGGAACATTTTATTGTCATTTGTGAGCCCTGACAAAATATAAAAGCGAAGACTCTAGAAACTAGATGACCCATCCGTGGCGACGAGACTACACGCGGCCCAGGACTCCGCGGGAGGTGCTTGACGATGCAGCGCGGTGGAGGGGGGTCGGCGGGCGGCGGCGGCGCCGCGGCGGCGCCCGCGCCCGCGCTGGTGGCAGTGCCTCTGGAAGTGCCGGCGCGCGAGGACCACGCTCCACGCGCCTCCACGTTCGCCTCCGAGGAGCAGCTCGCGCCGCCATCCCCCTCGCAACGTAAGTGGGCGGGGCGCGTGTATTTCAGTGCGCGCGCCCCCGCGTGTGTATTTCGAGTGCGTGTGGTGAGGCGTGCCCGGGCCAGACGGCGCGGCGTGGAAGTGTGTCAGCGCGGGGGGTCAACAACTCCGCCGGCGCAGCCTCCTCCGCCCTCTCGCCCGCTGCCTTTGTGCACATGCGCGGCCGCCGGGCGCCAGCGCGCGGCGCTCCAGTGCGTTTGGCGGTTTTGTCGCTGTCAGGCGAGTTGTGCGCGCGTTCCCTTGTGGCATAGTGCGGCAATTTTTGTTTGCATTCTGTGAATAATACCGGAAATTTCTGTGCACAGCTGTTGAAATATGTAGTGATTTGTTGACACTTGACGTCAAATTATATTAAAATTTTGATTGGTCTTATATATTTGGAATAAAAATTGTAATTGTGTTCAAAAGAAATCAGGAGTAAATTAAATAAGAGTTAATGCTTTTATTCCTAGCTAATGGAATCATGTAGGTGTACAATTGATTCATTTTGCGTGATAAACATTTGCTTGAGGCGATTGACATGGTATACTAAAGAAAGCTATGTGTGTGTATGCGTGTGTGTGTGTGTGTGTGTGTGTGTGGGCGCTGGAGCGGGTGCGCAAGTGCGCGCATGTTATGTGTACCTGGCTGTGTGTGGGTAAGTGCGCGTGCGCCTGTGAGTGTGTGAGTGTGTGTATGTGTGTGTGCATGTGTGTATGCGTGTGTGTGAGTGGAAATAATAATATAATTATTGAATAAATTTAACAAATTATAATACAGTGCAAAAATTAATATTTATAAGGATGTGTTTCTCAATTCATGAGAACACTGGAGGCATCCGTTGCACAACGCTTGTTGAAATTCGCACAAAATATCTTAATAGAAAAACAAAAAAATCGAGTAAACTTGAATCTTTCTGGAAAACGCTACTGTATCTGTGCATATAGGAAAAGCAGCTTTTATTATTGTATTCCTATTTCTGTCGTTAAAATATTTTGGACTTAATATTATTCAATGTTGTTCTGCTTTAGACAAAAAAGTGTGTTTAAAAAATACGTCACGAAATATTGAATGTATGGTGTTTTTGCTAAATTATGCAAGATTTTTCATTATATATTGTTTAATAATACAATGAAATTTTGAAAGATTATCTTTCGAAACACAATTTTATTTTACTTTCAACCTAAATTAACGTTCAACTTTTTTAAATCAAATTTTGGAGTATTTCTCTTGTTTTGCTGTGATTGTTAAGCCCCACGTCTTGATTACACTAGTGTCTGGGGATCAAAAGCTTTCAAATAATGCTTATTCCGAAGTCAATTTAGATCACGTATTTCTCAATCTTGAGACATAATTTTGCTGCTTACTTTCTAGGCCACCTTCATTTTTATACCTTCATGATTTCTCCGCCAGAATAATGACATTTTTTCACATTGCAACGTGAGACATTTACAGTGTTCTCTACAACGTTTAGTTTTTGTGTATGATGAATCATCGTTCATGTATAATCCATCATTTATATGCATGTTAAAATTGTCTAGAATAATTTACCATTTTGTCACTGGAGACAAAGACAACATTCTTCCAAATATTTCCAAGAAAATGATCTTGCTTATCGTAAGAGTCGATTCCGGCGTCGCGACATCGGTGAAAGAAATCGAAGAACGAGTGGCAGGACAGAAGGCATTTTGTTTAAGTAGTTCGAATTACAATTGAAAATTATTCGTTGCGCAAGATCAAGGATGTTTCTTATTAATCGCGTCAGCAGAAAGCCGTTACACAAGTTCGATGCACGTAGGGAAGCGTCAAAATGTTAAGTTTAAAGTGATCAGCAAAGAACAACCTACGCATGCGACGGGTTGCGACGGCTTTCAAATGCGTTTGTAGCTGTTGGATAGATTCGAGAATGTTTCATGTCAACCGCGTAGGCCAAATGTCGGGCTTCATGTCGTTGGACGTGCGTAGAGAAGCGTCACTGCGCCTATTAAGTTTGAGGTTATAAATATGCCGCTCGCATTGGTGGGACACAGTGGTGTTGTCGTTCGCCATATTTCGTTGAAGTGAACCGTTTACATTTCGTTTGTTATATGGGATAGAAGCCCATGTTTATATTAGCATTTTAGTCATTTATATTATTTTAACCAACATTGCATGATTTTATTTGTACCCCTTTATGTAGAATGAATTTCTCATCATTCTCCATTAACGGAATTAAAACGATATTTATTTGATCAGCAATTTTGTATGGGCCGTTGGTTTTACAATTATTTAATAATAGTAAACAAAAACGATATAATATATAGACATGTGGCTATTACAGAGTGAACTTCTTTGATTTCACTATCCTATTGTGTCGTTAAAAACGTGAATACATTTTGTGTGGATCGTTTTGAAATGGCTTATCGGATTGGTTTGGCGACGAGAGTTGAAGCCGGGAGCGTGCGGTGTCTGGCGCTTTCTCTCGGCTGATGGGGTGGGAGGGGGAGCGAGGGAGTGGGGGTGGGGGTAGGTGGGCGGTGGACTCTGTCCTGGAGCGGCTTTGCCGGAAGGGCACGTTGCGACTTCCTGCGTTTGGTCTCTTGTACGAGAGCAGCTTCTGGGGGTGAGCCGGAGGCGGGGCGGTGGGGTGGGGAATTGGGGGGGGGGGAGGCGCTTGCGAAAGTTTAAAGTAAGATATGGCAAGCGCTATAGTTAATTGCTTGTGGACGTACTGCATAGGACATTTCGGGCTCAATAGCAGTTCTAACGTACCATTAGTAGGTTCGCAGCACTGCAGAAATTTCAGTTATTGGCTTATATCGTTTCATCTACCAGTGCCCCGTTACGTGCGTTTTAAAAATATAGGAAACAGGCAGTCCAAGTAACATGAAACTGGTACTAATCAGTGGAAGTATTAAAAGGGTAATCATTATTTGTTGAAGTAAAAACAATAATTATTTATTTCCGTTGTTAGGTATATCATTTTATTGTCATTGTTTTAATGTAACTTTTTTGGTTAATAGTCTCGATTTTTGAAATAAAAAATTAGTTTCGACTCCTTTTTACATTTGTGGTCTTCTCTTATGAGAATATTCTTCATTTCTACTGTATCTTCCATTTTTCCTAGCTCCTTTGATTTTCACCTACTCTGCTAATATTTATTTCTTGATTAATTTGAGCGTTACTGACAAGCGAAGCAAAATTAAAGCGATTTTTTTATCGGACTATGCTCTGGTTAATGAAATTGTGTAGTTGTCTTTGTCAATTCCTTGGGGGAAAGTAGGAGAGCATATAGAAAAATATTGAAATATAATATAAAGCATGTATATAAAACATTTGCAGAAAATAATAGCCATATATATATCTGAATGCCGACCTGGATGGCCGAGGCGGCTACAGCGTGTGCCGACTGAAGGAGCTGCGGGTAGAGAAACGTGTGTCAAGTGTTTGGGTCTCTCAACCTTTTTGTGTGCGACTGTGTTATTAACTAAAACATTAATTTTAAATTTAAATTTATATCGTAACTTAATGTTTATTTTTCTAATACGTTGTGTAATAAAAAATGGTTTTGTGGGCTTTTGACCAGCGTTCAGACATTTTCTCCAAAATTGACATTACCAGATGATCTGGCTGAACTCGAGACACTGAGAATTTAAAATGGAAATCTTTATTTTTGGTGAATACTTTACAAAAAGCCTCTACGACATTTTCTACATTTTCTAAAAAATTGCTCCCAATTTTTTCTTCATACTATTTCTTGTGTGAAGAAAACTTAAATTTAAAAAATAGGCAAGGTTCCATTTTTGTTGAACTGTGTATTTCAAGAATTGCAAAAGGAAAAAAATTGGCGGCTTCGTACAATTTTAATATTGAAAATAGTTTCTTTTTAAAAAATCTTTTTTTCAAAAATAATCTTGAAATAATGTACTGTAAATGTGTGTGAAAATGTGAGAGAGTTGTCGCGTAATTTTGAATGACTGCTACAAATAATTCAAGAAATTATGAACTGTTGTTAAACTAGTTTTTATTAACATAATTCTAATTCTGTTGAATAATTTTTGTTTTTGAAAGAAAGCGTACTCTGCTCATGACAAACGAAAAACAACGAAGCTACCAACAAACCGAGCGCAGTCGACGCCCCGACCATAATACCCCACTGTCGGGAACAAACGCGACTGAAGGGCACCGACAGATCCGATTGTTGACAGAGACCTACGTATAGATTTCACAGCTAGTTAGGAGCACGCGTGCCCTACGAGACCAAGAAAGAAAGCCAGCGACAACAATCGACAATTCATAGAATGCGTTTTGTCCGGCTCTGACGCAAATATTTCGCTTTGTAATGCCAGGCTTTGAACTGTGCTTTACATTACATAGGCCCGTTACATATGAAATATTACATAATATTTTAAACTTTTATTAATAGACAATCCCTGAGAACCGTGCGATTAAATTGGTTGTACCCCCCTCTCCCTGAAAAATTCGTAAGGGCCCCACAGCCTCATTGTTTTAATTATTTCCTAACAAATGAAGGCTTTTTTAAAAACAATAGTTCAAATACAGGTTTTCGGGAGAGAGTAAAACATTCCATGACGTCATGGTAGACATTTAAAGTATGAAAATTGTTGTGCACTTTCTCAAATATTGTAAATATTGATGAACGATTGAGTGTAGTTCAAGCTGGAACTGGATTGTGTAAATTATTGGATAAAGTGGGGTGTGTATGGACTATGGTGCTTTTGTCAAAAAAAAATGAAAAATGCATTTATCAATTATTTATTTGAGGCAGTAATATTACAATATTTTTAGGAATAACACAAGAATTTAATGCACTTTTTTCAATTTAAAATACTATTGACCCACTTATTGTTCTTCGCCACAGCTGTTATAATTGTCAGTATTTTCGTTTACCGCAATAGCATCCGCCACTAATGACAAATTTAGATACAAATCTCTGTTAGCAGAGCAAATATGTTAGCCTACATATTTAGACAACTTCTGAAGATTCCTTTGTGATTAAAATGTGCTTCAGCTTTAACCTTCTTGGCTCTTACTGCATCCTCTTTCCCCTCCTTCATTGGATTACGTCTCTTCCACTCTGTTCTTTCTACATCTGACGTAGAATCAGTTTCATAGCTGTTACTTTTCCCTTGATTGTTCAGATTCACAACACAAAGGACATACATGCCACAAGAACAAGTTATACACTATCACCGAACTTCCAGAACAAAATTATTGGTTACGCAATAACCAATTTCACAAAACAAACATTACCATTCGTTGCAGATATTGAGACAAGCAGTTCTTGAGAATTAATCACAGAGAAAACTTTCATTTAAGAACTATGTTTATTTTACCAAAAAATCTCTGGGCCATGGTTTTTTATCAAAATTACTCAAACTTACGAAGTTAATAACTACGGTTAGGGGCTATTTTTGTTTACAACTAGACAGTCAGCGAATGACCGCTAGGGAGCATTAGCAATAGTTGTGGTGTCTCAAAATCTCAATTTTTGGACACGTTCTTTTACCTTCAAATTATTTCATACATAAATAAAAATGTGTAAAGGACGAGGGGGGGGGGGCAGAAATCCAATTGCCCACCTCTTGTTTTAGTCTGCACACGCCTTTGCCCAAAACTCCAACACAAGTATAAAGTCCTCCGAAAAGGGACGTTCTAAAAACCGCGCGAACAGATGGGCGGGGAATGACAATGGAGCGTGTGCGAAAACTTTCAGAATCTCTCTACATGAAACCGAAAGTCTTGGACTTCATGATACATACACGTGCCGATAGAAAGAATAATTGTTTCTGCCATACCTCTTTTTAAGAGTTTGCTGAAAACAAAAGATGAAAACGATGTTTCACAAGAGAAATAATAGGTTTGATTGATAATATCAAACCGTATTATTGAATAAGAGCAGCCAATAACGACATAGATTATTACGTTATGCGTCGACTACAAAATAATTATTTTGGATTTTATCGGAGTACATTGGTATCTAACGAAACCAAGTACCATAGACACCTCTGTCTCGGGCGTACTAGTTGCATACTTTCATTCAATGTTTGCTCGCATTGGAAATTAATAATACTCAGTGACCTGTAGCAAAAATGCTGCTGAACAAAAAATAGTTTTTCGAAAAGTAGCACGCTCACTGACCAACAGCAACAAATACAATTTTCTGGTTTAATACCGCAACAAAACTATTTTAACATTTCGTTCACGAATACTGGTATAACATATCACAGTATGAACGGAGTATACATAATATATTTTACATGCAGTAAACCAGTTATATAAAAAATACTCTTCAATAACGCCACAGTAAACAGAGAAACTTTTAATAGAGTACGGCCTCTTCCTCGGAACCGTGCTCTTTCCTGGCAGAAAGTAGTATCGGAAGAATTATTTATTTGATTTATTTATTTAGGGTCTTTATCTCATTTGCAGAAAGTCTGCCATTAGCCTCAGTTCCGCAGCCGCATTTTTGACCCAAGCTTGTTTTTGAGGCCCGCCCCTCGCGCGCAGGTGTAGTTCTTTTCCAAGCACACGCGCCCCGTGGACCTTCCCTGATGCACCTGGTGTGGTTCTCACCTAGTACTCCTCCAGATGTCGGGCCATTCACTTATATAACT